TGAGAGAGGAAATAGTGCAGTTGAGGAACTAAAAATATATGTTCATTCACTATGTCAAAAGCATGATGTAAGCCCAGGCTGGGTGGCTCAGCTGCTTGGAGCATTATCCCATACACCAAAAGTTTGTGGGTTGATCTCTGGTGAGGGCTCTTATGGGAGCAACCGAAGGATGTTTCTGTCACATCAATGTTTCTTTCTCTGTCTCTGTCTCTCTCTGTGTCTCTCTATCTCTCTCCCCTCACCTCCTTACTCTCTCTCTCTAAAAAAACCACAATAAACATATTCTCAGGCGAGGATTAAAAAAATTAATAGCATGATTGAAAACTATTCAAATTTCTGCAAACACAAAATTCTCTAAAATCTCATTGCTTTGTCCACATTAATCCCTTTGCCTACACCTGTTTTGTATGTGGTTAAATTTCACTTAATGGTATTTTTAAATTTGTATTTTGGTCAGTTGTTTTTCTAACTTCATTTTCTTTCACAAAGTACTTTGTTATGGTATTCTTTCTAATGGTCACTAAAGTACTATTACATATATATGTATATATATTTTTATTGTTGATACTATTACAGATTTCCCTCATTTCTTCCCTTTGCCCTGCGCTACCCAGCCCTTACCCTTCCCCCAACCCTGGCCTTAACCACATTGTTAACTGTGTCTATGGACCCTGCATATATGTTCTTTGGCTAATTTCTTCTTCTTCCAGTCCCCTCACCCCTTTCCCTCTGATATCATGGAATAGACTGACAGATCTTGGATGTATACCTGCTTTTCTTTCTATCAGTTTCAAAAATTCAGTTCAAGAGGCATGGACCCTGGAAAATGTTTTTCTCACATACATAATTTTTCTTATTCTTATATGTTTTTTCTTGGATCTTCTTCCAATTTTTGACCTAACTATTCTAATTTTTTATGATTAGAACAAACTAGAAAATCTCCCTAACTTTTCAAAGAAAATGTATTTATAACAGAAAAAACATACTTTTTTATAAAAAGTAAACCTGGAAACAAAGAGGTCAGTGAGTATATTTTAAATATTTCTGGAATTACAAAAAATAATTCTATGTCTTTCCTACTTGTTCTTCAAAATCCCTCCTCGTTTTTCCCCTTAAATTCCCTTCCCTCTCCCCTCTGGTCGCTGCCCACTTGTTCTCTATTTTAGTGTCTTTGTTTTTTATTCTATTTGCTTGTTTATTTTGTTATTTAGCTGTGGGGAGGGGGGATGGGAGGGAGGTGGGGAGACGGGGTGGGAGGGGGGTTGGGATGGGAGAAATTGACAAAAGAAAACTGTACTTGAAAAATAACTCAATAAATTAAAAAAATATATATATATATATAAAAATCTATATAACAACCAGGATTATTGTCACTGCATAACATGAGATATACCTTAATTTTTCTTCTTTAGAACAGTGAAACCATTTATTGATGAATGTGTAATTTATCTCTAAAAAGACTGTCTGGGAAAGTGGTTTTGAATGGTGCTACTCTCTTAAAGTGAATATCAATTCTCTCAGTTAATGTTTTAAATTATATATGTTGTCTTTAAAATAGTAGATTAAAATATTTTAGAGAATCAACAAGAACTGTATCACATGTGTAAGAGGCATTTCTGATTAAAATATTATTTTAAAAGAAGTATCACACCTGTTGAATATAGCAAACACAAAGTGAATTATTATTCAGAAAATATTGTGCTTACTCTGCTTTTACAGTGTATATAACCACTTACTTGCAAAAAGGCTATCTATCTTTGCATGCACAAACAATATCCTTTGGACAGAAACCTGTTACATTTCCTAGGCAGTTGTCAAAGTCAGTCACAGAGGCACAATTGGCTGTAAATAACAACATCAAAACATTCCTCAACAATGTAGAACAAATGTTTCAAACTTTGCTAATATGCATGTGAAAAGTTCAGCATGTTAGACAAACTATTTTTGTTCAAGAATTTTAAACTATGAAAATAAATTTGTGGTACTTTGAGAATATTAGAGAATATTTTGAGAATATTTGAGAATATTAAAATATCATGTTTTCAAGTACCAGTCTCCAAAAATGAAGACAAACAACAAACACGATTTCATTCTATTATTTTGAACCTAATAGCTTTCACAGTACGGCTTTAAAAGCAGTCGATATACAGTATTACAGCCCAAAGAACATCTAACATTTGAAATAAAATTCTTTTGGACAAAATGTGCATATCATCTTTGGCTAAAGGAAGAAAAAATGATCTATCCAAAGACAGCAGGGTCAACATAATTTTAATTTGCTAGGACAGTTCCAGTTTATGTCCAGTTCTGGTACTAATTATTAATACTTCTCTCTTTACACTCAAAGTGCCCTGCTTGACACAGACAGACTAGTTACCCCACTAGTAGGCCCCTGGGATTAGTAGGGACATCAGTCCCAGCCCTTAATGACTATTTTTAAGGCTTTCTTGAAGAGTCATTCTGCCAATGATCTGGCTGATATACCCTTTCCAGTACTCCAGACTAAGCAATGGCTTTTTAGATTCTGAAGATTAATGAGTAGGAAATTTTATGAGTAGTCACAGGACCAATGAACATGCACAGAAACTGCATTTTCAAGAAAGGGGGAACTATTTTGACTCTCCTCCAGCTTAAACACACAGAGATTGTATAGAGTAAGTTTTCAGATTGTCTAAGTCCCAGGTTTCTGAGTATCTGGAGGTAGAGGTGGCCGGCATGAAAGGAAAAGGTCTCTGATAAGATCAAGCCTATAGGATCCAAAGGAATGCTGTACTTTAGACAGCAGATTTTCCCTAACAGAAAGCACAACACATTCACTTTGCCACATACACATATTTGTAAAGATGAAAAGGTGACAATTAGAAAACATAACATTCATAAGTAAAAATGCAATGCAGTACTCTAATAAAACAGTTTCAATGACTCTATCCTTTAAATATGGAAATAACTTCAGTTGATCAAAATGGTCCAGTGATTCTTTGACTAACCAACATTGCAAAAATTCCACACCAGAATTGTGGGCCATGGGTAGGGGATGTCTAATGGTGCTGTTTGGAGAAATATGTCACATCTGTTTTCAACAGACAGTGTTTTGAAAAAGAAGTGTACTTCCTGGCTTGGCAAATATTTTAGGCTATGTTTTATAGGTAGATGTGATTTGAACATATTGCAGAGAGAAATTTTCCTGAAAAATAAACTATAACCTTTACATATTATAAAACAAAGTACTTTTAAATATAAGTAGTACAATACTATCACTAATATCAACAGAAGTGGAAAAATTTAGTTGGTAGTTCATAGAACTTTTTATATTTATCTCAGAGATCAGAGACAAATACAATAGCTTCAAGAGAAGACAATTATTTATGCCTCCTAAAACAGTAACTTTTTAAAAAAATCAGATACTTTCAAGTTTGTGAATTTTAAGCAACAGAACCTTTGCTTGCTTGGAATATTATCTAGTCTGTTAGGCTACCTCCCAAGACCTAGACTCGCTCTTCAATTAAAATCTAATTGATTATTTACATATCCAACCTACAGAAATAAAGCAAATTTTCTTACATTGCACACAATGTACAGTCAGAAAACAGCAGTAGGTAAACAGAACTCGAGTCCATATAAATATGTAATCCACCATGGTGAGAACTGGACAGAAACACAAATAGTCCTAACAATTGCAATTATGATAGGTGATCATCTGAGACTGTATAGATCACATTTATATAGAAGATAAAGAATTGTGGACTTTGAACTTTTTCCTTCCAGTCTATGTAAATTACTGGTTAATGTTTTGATCATAAACTGTTGATTCCCCATATCTACAGTTCCTATATATAGAACATGCATAAATTGTCTATGAGTTCTATATTGCTTAATTAGTCCACAGCCATTAGTCACACATAAGAACTATTTGTTCATCTTTGTACTGGGTTTCATAATGTGTTATTTTCTAAAAACCCACACCTTAGTTTATGAATGCAGTTTTCAATCCTGTTCAAAATTAGAGCTCTCTGACCTTGTAGCCATCAGGACTGCTAATGTGAGGATATAAATGGGTATTACTGGTAGGGAAGAGATGAAGAAAGAGAGAAAAAAGGAGTAGAAGATGGCAGAAAGAGAAAGAGAAGTCAGGAAAGTTTCCAGGAGGAAAAAGTAAAGAGTAGATGGGGGAAGAAAGTATTATGCAGGGCAAGGGACACAGACATAATCTAGCTGGGACACCAGGCTTTCATTAGGATTCTCCCCCACGTTCATACGTCGTCCACCTGCTCTCTCCCAAAGTCCACACTTACAAGGATACCAGTTCATATACTGCTAGTATTACGTACCATATATTTCTATTTAGGTCATTTTTATAAATTGTAAACCGTACCCCCTCTGTAAAACAGAATCTACTATTTCCACAGCTACTGACAACTATATTTTATGTACTATTTCCTGCTTGTATTTTATCCTTTATTTATTTTCCACTCCTTTCTGACAACCAATAAAATGGCAGTTTCTTGAGAGTTGTAGGTTGAACCTTCATGCCACCTGTTAATACAGATCATTTTTAATTTGCCTGGCCCATCTTGATACAGTATAATTTTTTCCAATAATTATGTTTTTTTTCACTTACTGATTCTTAGAGAGGGGAAGGGAGGGACAAAGAGAGGGAGAGAAACATCAATGTGTGGTTGCCTCTCACGTTCTCCCTACTGGGGACCTGGCCTGTAACCCAAGCATGTGCCCTGACTGGAAATTGAACTAGCGACCCTTTGGTTTGCAGGCTGGCACTCAATCCATTGAGCCACACCAGCCAGGGCAATTATTTTTAATTTTATGACATAAAAGTAGTTCACAAAAAACTCAGAAGAATAAAAAAGTGGTCATTTAGGTAGATGGGACAGGATATGATTTCGGCTTCCACCCTTGAATGAGTTGGAAAGAACATCGAAATCAGGCAAGAAATATATGGATTTTTAATGGAAGTAAGGGTGAACTTTAAAATTGGGTTGGTTGTGCTCACTTTGGCAGCACATATGCTAAAATTGGAACAATACAAAGAAGATTAGCATGGCCTCTATGTAAGGATGACACCCAAAATAGCGAAGTGTTCTATGTTTATAAATAAATAAATAAATAGGTTTGGATTTAAGTTAAAATCATATAAAACTAGTCCTTCTGCCAAGATGGAGGTGTAGGTGGAAGCACTGTGTCTTCTCGCACAACCTAGTTTAAAAACAACAAAGTTTTAGCAACAAAAACGCAACCAAAGCACAGAAAATTGAACTACATGGAAGTCTGACAACAATGAACCCTTCAGCCAAACCGATAAACCATTGAAGGAGCAAGTGGTGAGACAGACTGCACAGGCCCCAGAGGCAGGAAGCAGCAGAGGGAACCACCATTGTCCCTCTCTGACCCCGCACCCACATACAGCTTTACAAACCAGCGACCTGGATGGCCCCGCCCTGGTGAACAACTAAGGCTCCACTCCTCATATGTAACAGGCATGAACAGATCAAAACATGGCTCAAGAACAACTCAGAGCCCCAGAGCTGATAAATCTAAATGATGAAGAAATAGCAAAACTTTCAGATGCACAGTTCAAAACACTGGTGATCAGGATGCTCACAGAACTGGTTGATTTTAGTCACAAATTAGAGGAACATATGAAGGCCAAACTAATTGAAATGAAGGAAAATACACAGGAAACCAATAGTAATGGAAAGGAAACTGGGACTCAGATCAAAGGATTGGACCAGAAGAGGGAAAAAATGAACAAACAGAAAATAATGAAGAAACAAGAATTCAAAAAAATGAGGAGAGGCTTAGGAACCTCCAGGACATCTTTAAATGTTCCAACATCCGAATTATAGGGGTACCAGAAGGGGAAGAGAAACAGCCACGAGTGGAAAACTTATTTGAACAAATAATACAGGGGAATTTCCCAATCTGGCAAAGGAAATAGACTTCCAGGAAATCCAGGAAGCTCAGAGAGTCCCAAAGAAGTTGGACCCAAGAAGGAACACACCAAGGCACATCATCATTACATTAGCCAAAATTAAAATGAAGGAGAGGATCCTAGAAGCAGCAAGAGATAAAGGGACAGTCACCTACAAAGGAATTCCCATCAGACTGTCAGCAGATTTCTCAAAAGAGACCTTACAGGCAAGAAGGGGCTGGAAAGAAGTATTCCAAGTCATGAAATCCAAAGACCTACATCCAAGATTGATCTATTCAGCAAAGCTTTCATTTAGAGTGGAAGGGCAGATAAAGTGCTTCCCAGATAAGATCAAATTCAAGGAGTTCATCATCACCAAGCCCTTATTATATGAAATGTTAAAGGGACTTACCTAAGAAAAATAAGATAAAAAAGATGAACAGTGAAAGGACAGCAAACGCACAGTTATTAACAACCACACCTAAAACAAAAACAAACTAAGAGAACAGCTTGATCAGGAGCAGAACCATAGAAATGAAGATCACATGGAGGGTTAGCAACAGGGGAGTGGGAGGAGGAGAAGTGGGGGGAAGGTACAGAAAATAAGCAGCATAGATGGTATGTAGAAAATAGATAGTGGGAGGGCAAGAATAGTAGGGGAAATATAGAATCTAAAGAACCTGAGACACTTGGTCATAAACTAAAGGGGGAAATGGTGGGGGAGGGGTATTCAGGGTGGAGGGGAATGAAGGGGGAAATAGAACAATTGTAATGGCATAATTAATAAAATATATAAAAACATATAAAACTAATAGCAGTTATCTTTAGAAGAATAGTGACCTAACAGATGGCAAGAGTGCAGCCCTGAGACACTGACAATGTTCTGGCTCTTGATCTGGGTAGTAGTTACATGGGTGTGCTTACTTTGTGAAAATTTATCTAACTGTGGATTTATGATTTATGTATTTTTATGAATATAATCTTAAATAAAAATGTTATTTTAAAAGAAGTGGTCTGGGTTCCTCATAGAATATAACAATAGTAATGTCAATTAAAGCCGGATCCTTTACTCTCAGAAAGGCATTTTGACTGTTCTTTACATGTGTATGCACAAAGTCAAATCCATAAATAATGATCCATAATAAAGTCAGATTAATCTGAGCAGTTCTTCTGAGATTTTTGAGGATAGCCTAAGGCACTGTAATAATGAAATTAGCTTGCTTTCTTTTCTTTGAAGACTAAACTAAACTCAATACACCCTGAGATCACCACCAGGGCCTTGAATTAATTATTGTTCAGAAGATAGGAAGACTATTATGGTGGGGTTAAGTGTGTAGATTCCAAGCCCAAGAGTTGGTGTTTGCAGCTTGGCTCCCCCATTTACTCACTGTGTATATCAGTTTCCCCAGTCTGTAAAATGGGAATAACAGTAGCATCAACCTAATTGGATTATTGTGATAATAAAATGAGCCAATACATAGGAAGTGTTTATAACAGTGCTTGGAATGTAGTAGAAGCTATTAAAATACTAACGTTTATCATAAATTCTAGGCTTCCCTGCTTTTAAAAACATCATCTCATACAGTGAGGGACCCTTATTATTTAGCAAAATTAAGACTCAATTCTGTTGTCCAAGCTATGATTTATTAAAGGGAAAGGCTAGTTAAAATAATGTTAGCAAAGGGCTAGAAAACTCCACATGGAACAGCAGAAACAGATTCATATGCAAGCCAAAGAACATTTGAATATTTGTACTGGAAGGAATGAACATAATAATAAGAGTTATGATAAATACTTAATTGTGATAATAACTTGTATATCGGTTCTTACCTCCCCTTGACTACATAAAAACTTTACTTAACAATTCTACTCTCTTCTGTGTTATAAATTTTTGTTCTCCATTGGATCATTTCAATGAACAAACAAACATGTTCTCATTTCATGTATCTCCAAAATAAACAAAAATTCCTTGATCCCACAATTTCATCCAGCCTTTACCTTTACTGTCGTTAACATCATAACTCCTCAAAGGAAATGTGTAGACATATTACCTCCAATTCTTCTTCCACATTCTGGCTTGAGTCCACTTCAGTCAAACTTTCTTGTCACCATTCCACTAAAATAGCTCCTGTCATGCTAAATCTAATGGCCAGTTCTCAGTCCTCATCCTTACATGACCTATATCAGTGACTGTATGTCCCAGTTTACCCAGGACAGTCTTGGTTTTGCCTGTTCTCCCCACATGATTACTAATAACATTCTCTTTCATCTCAAAAGTATCCAATTTTGCACAAGGTAAGTGATCACCCAACACTACCTATTTGACATAGTTGCTCACTCTGTATTTCTTGAAACAATTTCTTTCTTTCTTTCTTTCTTTCTTTCTTTCTTTCTTTCTTTCTTTCTTTCTTTCTTTCTTTCTTTCTTTCTTTCTTTCTTTCTTCCTTCCTTCCTTCCTTCCTTCCTTCCTTCCTTCCTTCCTTCCTTCCTTCCTTTCTCTCTCTCTCTCTCTCTCTTTCTTTCTTTCTTTCTTTCCTTTCTTCCTTCCTTTCACTTATTTTCTTACTGATTTTAGAGAGAGACAGAGGGAGAGGGAGACAGAGAACTGTTGTTCCACTTATTTATGCATTTATTGGTTGATTCTCATATGTGCCCTGACTGGTGGATTGAACCCACAACCTTGGTGTATCAGGACAATGCAGTAAACAACTGAGCTACCCAGTCAAGGGCCTTGAAACATTTTCTTCACTTGGGTTCTAGAATATCCTTCTCTTTTGCTTTTATTCTTACTTTACTAACCACTCCTTTAGGATCGTCTCTGCTCATTTGTTAAATTCTAACCCATGTAGTTCCCTACTTAAATCAAGACAGTTCCAAATAGCATGAAATACTGAAACATTAATTGGTAGATAAGTCTAAGTTTACCTAATTTTGACCTCTTATTACAAAGAAACTTAAAGATATATTTTAATTTGTTAATGGAAATGTTTTGTGCTTTGCTAGTGAAAGAATGTATGTTTCTAAAAGTTAAAAAATAGATTCATAAATTTATCAATCTGATTACTTACATTTCAGTTGTCAGTAAATATTAAGGTTCTGAGGATTACGAATTCTAATTAATATGGAAGGAAATGATGTGTGTTTTCAGTGAAGGAAGTTATGAGGTATAGAAATAGTTATAAGGTACAGTTTTGAAGGATTTAAACAAAAGCGGTTTGTCATCATATAAGGCTGGTTATTTCTGAAAGAGTAAGAAGAGACAAACTAAGAGGAACTAGGAAAGTTGTACAAGTTTGTGGAAAAGGAATCCTGAGAGAGGAAATTTTTACCTATTGTGAGGCTGAATAAAATTAAAATAAATTGAATAAAGTAAGTTAATTTAAGTACTTAAAGTAAATTAATATAGAATTACAGTTTGGCTCTCTTTCACATTGTCAAAAGGACAAAGTTTTCCTATATTCTTCTGCTCCAGATAAGATATGTGAAGTTTTCTACTTAGAAAGGATTATATATTATAGTGAAATTGTTTTTATGTATTTTACATTGTCTTTTGTTTTTATTTTTGTTTTACACTGTCTTAATCAGGTACTTGATTACTCAAGAAAAGAATCTTCTCAATTTTAAAAACTAAGGTTTTGCTAATAATAGGTAACCTGTATTTACATTTGACGTCTTTTACTTTGAATAATTGAGTAATTTAATATTGTTTCATAATGATATATAATCCTTTTAAGCAAACATGTTTGACAAAATTCCCAGGGTTCAGGATGTAAAAGGAGATTTTTGTTAATCTGGAAATGACTCTAGGTTATCCCACTGGGTCCCTGGAATGTCTCAAAGATTTGTTCTGCCTTTCTTTTTAAAAGAGAAAATTTAAACTAATTAAATACATTTGATATACTAAAATGACATGGGAAGCTTTGTCAAATAAAGAAATAATAGTGTTTTATTTGTATGGATATACCCTTATTACTAAAAATAAATTTTCAAGAGATAATAATCTCCAAGATTTTGCAATGTCCTGATATTTTCACCTGCAATTCTAGTTAGTCTCTTAAAATGTCATGTTACAGAGAAAAGCACGTTTTTTCTCAATTTCATTATAATCAGATCTATAGCTATGCTATTTTAAATTCTTGTCACTTACAGACAGTCATTATTTTACTTTAATAATTTTACAA